GCCATTCACATGTTATATAAGGCTTATCGTAGTGTGATACTTCATGAATTTCTCACCTACTCGTCCACTTATGCGCTTTTATGGCGTTTTTAAAATCGTGTTTGAAATATGCGTACACGATAGGGTTAAGACAGCTGTTCGTGGCACTCGTGAAAACGCTGATGTAGTAAGCGATCTGCAAGCAAAGGCTAGGATTGGTGATATGCTTTCTATAAAGTAACAATATCCGTACGACCCAAAACGGCAACCAACAGACGAGGAAGAGAACAACAGCGGCGATAACCATCGCACTGACCCTGCCAACGTGAAACTGGCGTCGACGGCGTTGGGGCCTGTTAATCAAGTGAAAGATTATACCGCAGTAGCAGATCAAGATGATACATACAGGTAAAACAAAACCCACAACAAACATGTACAACGTGACGTACTTCCCTGTATTAGCGTTACATATAACGCTACAGACAGTCACACCTCTGAAGGTCTCCGTACGTGAATACAGCCAGAGAGGCATGGAAATAATTGCGGCTAACAGCCAGATTATAAAACAAGCTGTTCTGGTTTTCTGAAAACTTCGGCCTTTTTTAGACCACGTTAGATTAACCACAGCTGAATATCGGTTGATCGCCATAGCAGTCAGTGTAAAAATGCCGGTGAACGTATTTACACCGTCGATTCCCATCACTATCTTACACATAATACTTCCAAATATCCATCGTTTTGTCGTGTTGAAGTAAGCTATAAAGGGCAACCAGAGAAGAAAAAGAAAATCCGCACACGCTAGGTTTAGCATGTATAAATTTGGCACCGACGTCATCTTCGGGCAACGAAGTAAAATGTAAACCACAATCCCGTTGCCGACAAGACCGGTAACACAGATGATAGAGAAAATAGTGGGAATCAGATAGTGAAACATCCACGGCGGAAGCGAACTTTGAAGTGTTTGTCGGTCCAGTCCTGTGACATTTTCAGCGAAACTAGCGTTGATAGGATTCATTATCCGTAGAATATTGCTGCATAGTCACGTCAGCGAGTTAGGTCGTATAATGCACTCACGCTTCTTACCTATTGCATTGAGTATGGGTTTATGTCTAACTGTACACAAAAAAAGTATTCAACTCGAATTCACAACATCGCCACCACCGGCAAATGATGACACGTGATTTGACTCTTCGAGGCTATACGTATATATAAGTACATGACATAACGAGATCCAGTCAACTCCAGGTCGGTTATTCCAACTGACGTAGACGCTAACATTCACATTTGGGAACATTGATTTATTTAATTTATTTCGCCAAAATTGCCCTGTCATTTAACGCACAGACAATGGTTGATCGGCATCACGTGCTCTTCAGTTCAAATTTATAGCAAAGCATGGGATCAATTGAAAGTTTCGTCGCATGCTTTCTGTCTATGAGCGTAATCGACTCTTGATTCGCTAATCATCTTCTCAAACATCTCACGTATATTGTATTTTTCGACATTTCCGGGCATTATAATTAAAATTAAAGCGAGAGGGTTGTCACCTGCGCATTCGCGGGGATTGAGTCCCAGGCGACGATAACAACACACGTTGAAACCGCAAAGGCTCATGGGTAGACGCTTGTTTATAAACAATGACACGCTATGACCATCTGACACATGCGCAAGTGACGACTCCCCCGCTTTAAGGGCAATGCACAGTCCAACATCACGCAATAACAGGACTCGGACGGGGATGATCCCTTAAATAATGTGTTCGACTTCGTCTCATCAATTATTGAGCACATTGCTGTCTAAGCTTTGTTATCAAACACTAATAATAGGCAGCGAATCGTCCTTTATTCTCGGAACATTGTGTTATATTGACAAGACTGGCTAAAAATAGAAAAGATGACGGTTCAATAATTGTCAATGCATTTACATGTAATTTGATCATCTATTTTTATCAACTACTGAAACGAGCACTCATTCTACAATTTTAATGAACAAATGCATTTTTTTATTCTCGGTGTACCAATTTTGTTCCGACTTCCTCTCCGGTCCCGTCTCCATCGTGCGACATAGTGCTCTTACTCAATGAGTTGAACAAAAAAAATGTTTTCAATGAGCAGCCTTTTAACCGGCTCCAGCTATGTATCTGTATTTGTTTACCAGTACAAAAACTGTTCACCCAAGACGAGGTATTGATTTACCATACAAGTACTTTCTATTAATCAAATGCGAATTGTTTTTCCTTCGCTAGATTGACTTATTGATCGTTGCCTCATTAATTGCCTTCTGTTGAAAATAATATGTTTTTTTTTTATACATGTCGATTTTCAATTTTACGTCACGATAACTTAAAAGTTGTTATTGTGATCATAGATTTGCCGCCGAATCAAGACCCAATCTGAATATTTCTTTCATATGGCCAGAGTAACAACACATCACACACACAGTTATCTCATTGTCTTGAGCGGACTCATGTTCGCTCATCCTTGTGTCAAGTTTCGCTGAAGAGTTCTCTGACAAAGACGGTGTTCGACATGCCCGCATAGATTGTTAAACGTTGGGGGGGGGGGGGCATCTGTTCACGCGCGGGAATTGAGGCCCAAAGCTTGGCTGGTTCCCGCCTCAAGTGTCATGGCGTACCAAGCCACAAGAGGCCGGTAACTAGTAACGAATCCGGCATTCCGATGTCCATCACTTTTCCTTGGTTACCTGATCAGCGCTTACGCTCGTGGCTCTAAAGCAGGGGTTTCCTTTTACTTTCGAAAGTTGGGCGAATAAAAAACTGTTTCTTTTGTTATAAATTTTCACAGAAAC